TCCTCTGGAAGAGCAGCCAGTGCTCTTAACCACTGAACCTTCTCTTTAGCCCCTCGTTTCCTTGAGATAAGATCTTACACTGCAACCTAGGCTGGCCTTGCTTTTGCTATGTAACTTGGGCTGGCTTCAAATTAGCACCAATCCTCCTGCCTCCACTTCCTGAATCGTTGGCAGAAGCCACCAGGCTTAAAGAGTTTGATTTTGATTATTTTATTTTTTTAAACTTAAACATTAAACACATTAGCTAAGTGCAGGTCAGAAGGAAGCCTCTGGTGTCAAATGAAGGAAGGTAGGCATCACTGGGCGACTGGATCAGAGCCCCACTGGCCCAGCCAGACTGCACTGCAGAGAGCTGCTAAGGGCACTTCCGAGCTGGCCCCGGGCACTCAGCCATTTCACCTGCACAGCGCGGCTAACCCTGCTCCACGTGCCCTGTGGTCTATTGTCTGGTTCTGGGCACGGCGTGGAACCCAGGGCTTTGCCTACACTAAGCATGTGTGCTACCGCTGATATACCTCCAGCCCACCCATTAAGAACTGTACCGGCAGATCACGCTGATGGTATCTTCCATCCGTCCCGTTTGCATGCAATCCCCCACTTCCTCTCTGCAGTCACCCAGCCCCCTAGCTCACGCTGCAGTTTAAGAATTGGGCAGAACACCTCTCTAGCAGTACAGTCGAAGACCAAAATGGGGTAATTTCCAGTCTCAGGATGACTCAGTGATGTCTGCAGGGCAGGACTGGAGGAGGCTGCTGATCTGTGGGGGATGGACGAGGCTCTCCTCAGCCTGCTCCTCATTGGGGAAGTCCCTTGGTTCCAGAGCAGAAGAGGCTACGTGCGCTATGGGTGACACTGTCACCAGGGGTCCCGTCAGTGCCTCCAGGAGACTGGGAAGAAGCTGACCCCTGACCCCAGGCCTGGCTGTGACTTCATACCTCGGGCTGCACAGGGAAGGGATGTGCAGGCAGCCAGGTCCAGGTGCTGACTCACAGTGAGAGGAACTGTGCTTTCTAAGCCTCGAGCTGAGTGCTGAGGAGGTGTCTGGAAAACCCCACACCGTGCTTACAGCCGGGCAGGAGTCAAGCCCGGACCTCCTGCCTCAGTGGTCTCTATTCGGTGTGTTACTGTGCTCTCAAGACCTGGTTCTTAGCCGGACGGTGGTTGCGCACGTCTTTAATCCCAGCACTCGGGAGGCAGAGGCAGGCAGATCTCTGTGAGTTCAAGGCCAGCCTGGTCTAAAAGAACTAGTTCCGGGACAGGCTCCAAAGCTACCGAGAAACCCTGTCTCGAAAAACCAAAAGAAAAAAAAAAAAAAAAAAAGACCTGGTTCTTTCATGAGCCCGGGCAGAAGTCTCCAGCCTCCTCGGTGCCGGGATTATAAGCAAGTTCCATCTCTCCTGGCTCCCCAGCCCTGGTTTATAGACAAGGTCTCACTATGTAGCTCTGGCTGTCCTGAGGGACCACGCTGGACTTAAAACTCAGAGATTCGAACCTCCTGAGCCTCCAGAGTGCTGCGCTTCAAGGTGTGTGCCACCATGCTTGATAATCTTTTTTCTTTTTTTTTTTTTTTTTCTTTTTTGAGACAGGGTTTCTCTGTGTAACAGCCTTGGCTATTCTGTAACTCGCTTTGAAGACCAGGCTAGCCTCAAACTCACAGAGATCTGCCTGCCTCTCCCTCCCCAGTGCTGGAATTAAAAGTGTGGGTCACCACACCTGGGTTTTTTTTTTTTTTTAATAGTGTGCTTACATATGGGGACACATGATTGCCATGGTGTATGTATGGAAGTCAAAGGTCAACTTGTAGCAGTCAGTTCCCACCTTCTGTCACGTGGCTCTGAGGGTTGTCAGGTTTGGTGGCAAATGCCTTCCCCTGAAAAACCAACTGGATTGATTGGCCTCCAGCCCATTTTAAAAGTAGTGTTTAATGCTTTTGTGAGTTAGCAAGTGGCCAGTCAACTGGCCAACATCAGTACCAATAACATTTACAGAGTCGTTGGCACATGGAATTGTACTTTTATGTTCCTTTCTTTCTTTTATTCCCTCCCTCCCTCCCTCCCTCCCTCCCTCCCTCCCTCCTTCCTTCCTTCCTTCCTTCCTTCCTCCCTCCCTCTCTCCCTCCCTCCCTCCCTCCCTTCCCTGTGTAGCTCTGGCTGTCCAGTAACTAACTCACTCTGTAGACCAGGTTGGTCTTGAACTCACAGAGACCCGCCCGCTTCTGCCTCCCCAAGTGCTGGGTTAAAGGGGTATACTTTTCCATGTCTAACAATCATCAACAAACCCGGTACAACAGGCCCCTTAAACTTTTTTTTTTTTTTTTGAGACAGGGAGTTCTCAGTTCTGTAGCCCAGAGTGACCTGGAATGCAACCTGATCTTCTCCTGCTAGGCCTCTGGAGTGTTGTTACAGGTGTGAGCCATTATCCCCCTTTTCCTTAGGATTTTGTTAGCAACCATCACAGAGAATCTGCTGGTTGCTCAGGGGACCCGGGCCTCCAGACTGTTGAGGACTGCACACTGGGCCTGATGGTACATGCCTGTAGTCCTGGTCCTCAGGAGGTGGAGGCAGGAGGATTAGGAGTTGAAGGCCAGCACTGACTACTTAATGAGTTTGAAGCCAGCCTGGGCTGGGATACAGGAATCAATGTCTCATACACCTCCTTCCCTATAAGAAGAATAAAAGTGCATGGAATGGGGGCTCTTAAGTGAGCTGGGCATAGTGGTCCATGCATATAACCCCAGCATTTTTAGGGCAGGGAGGCAATAGAAACAGGAATCTAAGGCAAGCCTTGGCTAGGCTACATAGCAACCACACAGCGGCCCTATGCTACATAGCAACCACACAGCGGTCCTATGTTACTGTCACCTTGGCTCAAAAACAAAAGTCAGGGGCCGGAGAGATGGCTCAGTGGTTAAGAGCACTGGCTGCTCTTCCAGAGGACCCAGGTTCTATTCCTAGGATCCACATAGCACAAGTGTCTGTAACACCATGAGTAGTCGGGGAGGACCACAAAGTCACCATAAGCCTAGCAGCTTATAGCCCTGCTCCAGGGAGAAGTCCCCCCAGTGTGACAGCCCTGCTCCAGGGAGAGGCCCCCCAGTGTCACAGCTCTGCCAGGGGAAGGCTCCCCCAGCAAGTGTTCTGCTCCACTCTGCTCTGCTCCTCATCTGAACTTCATTCTTCTGCAGGGAAGAATCCAGGAGGGCGGCCTCCTCTGCCATGGTAGAAAAAGGCAGCAGCAAACTCAACAGGTCCAGGGCTTATTCTTTATTTAGGGCTGCTTAGGGGTGGAGTTTTTCCAGGGTGGGAATTGGTCGGATTTCAATCCCTGAATTCGGACAAATTCAGAGATTGGTTGGCTTTCGTGCGCAGCGCAGGGATTGGTTGGTTTTTGTATTGAGTTGGGCAAGGGCAGAGTATGTTTCTTTGGCTCTGGTTTCAGGGCCTGGTTGTGTTTCTTTGGCTGCCCCTTTTACCCTACAGTACACACATGGTAGATGCACTCAAATACTCATACACGTAAAAATAAAATCTCCAAAAATATCGAAAAGAAAAAGCAAACAGAACCAGCACGCAGGCAAGTAAAATTTAAGTTTAGCCAGGGCTGCACAGGCACACCCTATTCCAAAACTTAAAATATATACAAAACAACAAAGGACAGAAAAACCAAGGACCACCCCCCACCATGAACATATATGGAAGCCCTCTAAAATTCTTTCTCGAGGGCAAACTGGGGAACCTCCATGACAGGTAAATGCCACACTTCAGTATTCTGAAGACACATTCATAGAAACCTACCTTCACTTCCCTCTAGCTATCTAGGAATTTTCCTAAATTAATATTTGGGCCTGAAGGTCACCTGGCTTCTAAGCAGGCCCAGGGGACAAGTCTCAAGAGGAAGATGGCTGGCTGGTGCTGCAAGACAGGCAAGAAGCACTTAGCTGTTCATCACAGCCTTGTGATCTCATTTCATACGGAACTCCTGGGTATACGACAGTCTTGGGTCCAGGGGGCCCCTGCGATAGGCCAGGTTGGCTAGTGGTACCCTCAAGGCCTTGCCGAGTCTATGGCTTTCACAAGCCAAGTTGGTCCTGGCAGACGTCTGTCCAGGGGAGCCCTGAGCACACACTTTGCCTGGAATCTGACCCATGGGAGAAGCGGAGAAGCAATCATCAGGAAGTCCGTGACTCAACTTGAGCACCTGAAGGCCAGTTCCACTCCTCCTCCTGATGCTGAGCTCTGAAGCCACCGAATAGAAAGGGACTTCCTAGGATTGGAGACCCAGGTCAGTGCTTGCTTAGCAAGTGCAAGGCTCTGGGTTCCCAGCACCGGGCAGAAAACGAAGCCCCCAAAGCAGGAAGGGGTCAGTCAAACTGAGCCAAGGGCACAAACGTGGGTTTCTGCCTTTCACTCTGATGGCTCCATCTTGGGAACTTCTGCTCAGCTTCAAGGTAGCTAGTCTGCAGAGCACTGGAGCCAGCAGGGTGGGACAGGCCAGCTCCGTCTTGCTTATACTGCAAGGGGGCGGGGTGGCACCCGGAAACTCCCTAGCTGTGACAACACAGGAGGTTGTTTGCGCAAAGTAATTTCTCTTTTATTCAACCATTAACCCTTGCTGCACGTGTCCCGGCCCATAGATGTGGTTACCAGCCTCGTCTTAACCCTAGCAGCGGCAGCCAGGGTCCCTTCCTCAGCTACTTCCTCTGTGATCAGCTTTTCTCCAGCTTCAGCAGAGGGGGTGGGACATTATTAGCTCAGCCCTCGATCCCCAAAGCTTTTGGTCTGAACCAGCTTCCAAATGATGAACTACATATATCACTTGTCCTAGGATCACAGGGGCTACATATGCCAAGCTGTAATAACAAACTCCAAGCCTTTAACCCCAGCAACCGGGAGGCAGAGGGAGGTGGATCCTTGTGAATTCCAGGCCAGCCTAGGCTACACAGTGAGAGAGACCCTGTCTATAAAAAAGACGTCGTCAGGGAGAAATAAAGATACACGGTGAAGAATTCATTGTCTGTTTATTCACAGTTAATCACTACCTACCAAATTGCTATCCGAAGTTAAAGGAGTAAGTACATAGGTCTTTTTATTTAAACACTGATCTTTAAATATATACACACAAAACTTAGTTCAGCAAGGCTTCATGATATACACCAATTCCAAAATAAAACAATCAAATGGCCCAGGTGTAACTCCAGAGATTATTTTTATCATCAGCAGGGAAAGAAGCAGAACCGGGAGGGGCGGGAACAGAAGGTCGCCCCCCAGGGCTGAGTCCATCTCATAAAACAGAGTCCAGGGGAGACCCCACCCCGAAGAAGCCAGCAGCCCAAGGAGACCACCAACTCCAAGAGAGAGAGGCGGGGAGCCCTGTTGCTGCTGTGGGAGGAGGCTGGGTGGAGAGGACAGGACAGGCACGTGACTAGAGGACCAAAGCTCACAAGAGACAGATAAGCCCTGCATGGTCTTGGCCTTTCCCGCCTCACAGGGCTTCCGGGAATGGGGGCAGCATGACAGGTGCAAACACAACCAACCCAGTCCTGCTATTCACGCTCTTGGGCAGGCTGGAAAACACAATGGAGAGCGAGGACCTTGTTCTAAGAGCAAGAAAGATGAAAAGCCGCTCTCATCTCCCACCTGAGTGTAGCCTGTGAGAGCGGAAGCAGGTCAGCGTGGATGCCACCCGCTCCTCCGTCTTCTGTGTGACACTTCCTGGCTCCAGGCATAGAAAGGGCAGACCACAACTCGGACTGGAGGCCAGGGAGCGGAGTCTGCCAAGACCTCTGGCCCACCCAGACGGGGGAAACCCACTCTGCTCCTCCGGCCCCTTTCCCTCTCTTCTGTTTCCCTGCCGAGAGGGAAACATGACCCAGGATAGAGGACTAATCAGCCGAAAAGCTCTGGACTGTCTTCAACTTTTCTTTTTTTTTAAAAAAAGTGAAAACACCACTCATAAACACCCTTGAAATAAGGAAAAAGGCACTATGAAAAACAACATCTTAGCGGCACCTGAAGGGGAGACAGTGGAGGAGACGCAGGTCTGCAGTGACTCAGGGCCGCAGGTGGGCAGCCTGCCTCCTTCCCTACGAAGCCCAGCTTTGACGGAGTGCTCCAGGCTTGGGGCTGGAGGCAGATGCCCAGCCAGGGGCCCAGGTGCCCTGGCCGCCCCTTGTGTGTGAAGGATACAGCTCTTTAAGTCCATCCATCTCCACAGACAGTTTGCATAGAGAAAATACCAGCCCACTTGGTTTCTTTTCTTTTATTATTGGCATCAGCTGGGACTATATGTGGCCTTAAACGTCATGCACTGAAGGACAGGAAAGAGAGGACGAGAAGGAGGACACAGGAGGGGAACAGGAGCAGCGGTGAGATTCTGTAATAAAAACTGTAATTCAATTCAATAGGTTAAGTTTTGGCATTATGAAATCAAACACCCCTTCCCACCCCCCGAAGTTTCAACCTAAGTGCGAGGGTCACCAGCAGGACCCAGCCAGGTGTTCTGCACTCCCTCACAGGCTGTGACAGGCAGCATGTGAGGGCAATTCTTGTGAATGGTCTCAACTTTTCACTTTCTTTAAATAATCTCTTTTGCTTCTTAGACGTTCCGGTTCACTGGGGTGACGTAATTGCGAGGAAACATGCCGGTCTGCCCATGGCAGGCCCCCTTCCACCAATTGGGATCTGAGTTATCCATGACGTGGATGAAGTCTCCTCTGCGAAAGCCCAGCTCGCCATCCTCCTGGGGGTCAAAGTCAAACAGTGCCTGGACATACGTTGGCTGCTGCAAAAGAGAAGCAGGGAAACGGTATTCCTGATGCTGCCAGCTGCCTTGAGAGCCAACTGCTCAGTGAGTGAGCACGTGCAAATCCACCCACTTCCCAAAGCAGCCTCCCACCGCCCTCCCTCCACTCCTACCCACCGCTAAGTCCTAGGTGGGTTTAGCGCAATCCTTTACTAAGACTCAAAAGCACAGGGCACACACCGTTGTCCCTGCGAGTGGTCAACGGGCCACAGTAAGTTAACGGGGAAGAGCAGTAACATGCGCTGTGCAGCACAGCTGCTCACAGGTATGAAAACGTCTGTGTTCCAGTCATTAGGTTGTACAGGACAAAGCTTTCACAAACCAAAGCAGTCCTGACCCAAACTCCTGCTAGTAAGGAAGGGACAAGGGTGTGCAGACACTCCTCCCTCACAGGCTGCCCGGGCTAGAAGCACTTCTCTTTGGTGGCAACACCACCCGATGCCAGCTGCAGACCCTCGGTGTGGATGAAGACAGCCTGGTGCACAAGGAGGTACTGTGGTGGCCCCGCTAGCTCTGGCTTACCTGTGGCACCTGCTCTATATCCCGCAGGAATATCTGCTGGTTCCTGGACACGGATGTCGATCTGTGGTAATCTACCAGCTCATTCAGAGAATTGAACTTCACCACCCACAGGAAATACTTCCCAGCCCCATCGCGGAGCACCTTGAAGTGCTGGACATCATTCCCAAACCTGCAGAAGGGAGAAGAGGCATGAAGCAGCCACAGGGCTCCCCGAACCCGAAGGTGCCCAGGGAGCTGCTGTGGCTTTTGGAGCTTGCGGGTACAACAGCTGCACAGCTGGAGATGGGGACTGTCCCGGGGGCCTCCCCTAGACCTCTCCTGACTGCTGGTCACAGCAACAACCCCCACGGAGGCCAAGTCCACCCACTTAGCTCACTCTGAAGATGCCCATGGATCTCCTAACACAGCCCATTAACAAAATTACAATTTTATCTGCTTTAAATGTTAAAAAGTGATGTGACATTCAAGCACTAGCCTAGGTCGGCTTTGGGCTGACTGGCTAAGCTGGTCTAGAACTCATGGTGATCCTCCTGACTCAGCTTCCCCAGGGCTGGGACTACAGGTACGCCACCAAAGCCATGCTTTCCACTGAGGAACTGTCACACAAATTTTCTTTTTCAGGGTAATGAGACCCAAACATGAAACAAACATTCCTATCACTGGACGACAAGCTCTTTTGCACCGTGGAGCAAGGGTAACAAGTGTGACCGACTGACGCTGGCCAGCCCACAGGGTCTGCACCGGTGACACCAGAACAGGACAGTTACTCAGCTAGGGCCCTGCTTCCTGTTCACTGCCAAGCCTTCAAATTTTTCCAGGAGCCTCTCCTTCAGTTTAAGGCTTAAAGGTCAGGGAGTTGAGTTCTAAAGACAACCCAGAAGATGGCAGCACTGAGCTCCAAGCTAGGGAGCGCAGGACACTTCCAAACACCCAGGGCAAATCTGAAACCAGATACTGAATCCCAGATACACCCCACCCCTTTCCCCTATAGACACTATAATCTGATAAAGTTTAATTTTCATTGAGACAATTACAGCAATATGAAATCATAAAAGTTATTTAAAATCTAGGACTTATTTCCGCAATTTCCAGTTGGTCTCTGGTAACTGGAATGGAGGAAAGCGAGACCACAGCAGCTGGACGACTTCATTATGTTCTTTCTCACTGAGAAGCAAATGCACTGGCGGAGCCTCAGGGGGGCTGTGGATCCAGGACCCTTCTACCACGGCTTTTCACCCAGACTCTGAAGATCCTGAAGCCAGTGCAGTGTTGGAGACTGGTGCGTGTGAAGCCCTGAGTGAAGATGTCTGCCTTACAGGCAGGATTTCATGTTCTGTCTCTCTCACCCCTGTGTGCATGCTCCCGGGGCTGTGAACGCACATGTGTGAGCATGCGTGTGGAAACCAGTCACTGCCGGCAGTCTCTCTCCACCTTCTCACTGATTAGGCCAGGCCAGCTGGCCACCGGCTCCTGGCATCTCTCTCTCCTCCATGGACCCTAACTCAGGCCCTCATGTTTACATGGTAGGGGCTTTACCACTTTATTTTACTCCTCAAGTGATCATATATTAACTCAGCAGTCCTGGAACTCCCTCTGTAGACCAGGCTGGCCTTGAACTCAGAGATCTGCCTGCCTCTGCCTCCCAGGTGCTGGGATTAAAGATGCATAGTCCGGCTAAGTTTTGCTTAATTTTAAGATGACATGTCTACAGATGCATGCATGTGCATGTGTGGGGTGGCCGTGGAGTCAGAGCTGTAGGAATCAGCTCTCTCCTTCCACCATTTAGGTCCTGGGATCAAATGCAGGTCACTGGGCAGAGTCTCATGGAGTCCAGGTTGACACTGAACTCATGATGTAGCCAAGGATGACCCAGAACTTATGAATGTTGTGGAGTGCTATTTAATGACGTGTTGCATTTGTTTAACTCTGTGAAGCTGTATTAATTTGCTGGTCTAATACCTGATTGGCCTAATAAAGAGCTGAACAGCCAATAGCAAGACAGGAGAAAGGATAGGTGAAGCTGGCAGGCAGAGAATAATTAGAAAGGGAAAATGATAAAGGAGCAGGAGAAGGAGGAGGACACCAGGGGCCAGTCACCCAGCTACACAGCCAGCCATGGGGTAAAAGCAAGAGATACAGAAGTAAGAAAAGGAAAAAGCCCAGGACAGAAGGTAGACAGGATAATTTAAGAAAAGCTATCTAAGCCGGGTGGTGGCGCACGCCTTTAATCCCAGCACTCGGGAGGCAGAGGCAGGTGGATCTCTGTGAGCTCGAGACGAGCCTGGTCTACAAGAGCTAGTTCCAGGACAGGCTCCAAAGCCACAGAGAAACCCTGTCTCAAAAAACCGAAAAAAAAAAGAAAAGCTATCTAGCAACAAGCCAAACTAAGGCTGGGCATTCACAAGAAACAGAAACAGAAAGTCTCCTTGTGTGATTTATTTGGGAGCTGGGTGGTGTGGGCCCCCCAAAAGAGCAAAGAGCAAGGGAGGGGGACAAAACCAAACCAAACCAAACCAAACACCCAACTACATATGATTCTCCTGCCTCCACCTCCTGAGTGCTGGATTATACCCGGTTGTAGGCAGAGCTTGCCCTAGGAAGGGAGCCCAGACCTCACCCGTGCCAGGCAAGCATCCTATCTGCTCTCCTAGGTTCCATCCCTACGATTCCCTTTGATGGGAGGGAACAGCTTGGCCTTGTTGGTGTCTTCAGCTGGAGCATGTACGGAGCTGGTCTGGCTACTGCTGCTTGGGGCAGCAGAGACCAAGGGAAGCAGACGACACACAAGCCACTGAGAAGCATAAAAAAATGATAATTCTGCAAACTCAGCCCAAGATGCTCTGTTAGATCTGTCCTCACACATATGCAATTAAGAACTTCAAAGTCCTGGTTACAAGAGGAAACTAGTTTCACACTCAATTTGAAAAAAAACAAAACAAAACAAAACCCCCAAAATAAAAGCCAGGTGTGGTGGTGCACACCTTTAATTCCAGCACTCAGGAGGATCCCTGACTTTGAGACTAGCCTAGACTACAGATAAAAAGTTTCAGGACAGTCAGGACTACACAGAGAAACCCTGTCTTGAAAAAACAAAAAACAAAACCAACAACAACAACAAAACCCCCCCACCAACAACCCCCCCTCCAAAAACAAAAAATAAAAAAAAAAAAAAAAAAGGGAGAGAAGAAGAAAAGAAGCACTGCAAACACATTCCGAGGCATCAGATCTCCTCCGGCAGTTCTCATGTCTCCATTTAGGCGGGGCACAACTTTGTTCTGGAGTCTGGAACTGAAGGCCTGGTGTTCCTCTACAGAAAGCGAAGGTGGGGAGGATGGGAAGTCCAGGGCCAGTCTAGTCATTCACTTGTTCATCGCAGAGCTAGAGACGGAACTCAGGCCCTGCATGGGCTACACCCTAGCTCCCAGTGTGGGCAACTCAGTGGGACCCTGGTCAGTGTTTAAGGACAACGGCAGGACTGGTGGGGGGGGTCCAGTGAGTAGAGGGGCTTGTGCACAGACATGACAATTTGGGTTTAAACCTCAGATCCCAAGGTAGCAGAGAAAACTGACTCCTGCGGAAGTCTGTCTGTCCTTTCACTCCTGGACCCGGAGGCACTGGGCTCCCCAACTCCTCTTTATGGACAAAGAATGAAACAAGGGGATGCTCAGGCCCATCATCCCCCGAGACAGGCAGATTGCCATCTGAGGATGGGCTCTGCTACACAAATTCCAGGAGGGCCTGAGGTACAGACTTAGTCTGTGTTGAAAAAGAGATGACTGAAAAGCCGTGAGGTGGGCTTCTGCAGTAACACATTACCTAGAAAAGGACACCAGCTGGTTCAAAACACCGTGGAAAGTCATTCTTTTAGACAGGATCTCACTATAACTCTGGCTGGCCTGGAACTCACAGAGAGTTCTCTGCCTCTCAAGTGCTGGGATAAAGGCACGTGACACCGGGCCCAATTCCTCTTTGGATTTTGAGATAACACCCCACCAGGCTAATGGAAACCTTTTCAAGTAACGTGAAAAGAAAGCCTCAGATAGTGCCTGGTCTGCCTGGTCCAGGGAAGCAATGGGAGCTGAGATAGCAGGCGTTTTGTTAGGCTGGCAGCAACTGCACCGAAGGCAGGGAGGGACCAGGGACCAGGAAACTGGCTCCAGAGCAAAACACTAGGATTTCCATGGGAAGATGTTAGCATCCTCCCACAGCCTCACGCTTCAGTCGATGGCGGCAGGCTTCTGTGGGCAACTCCAGCAGGAAATACTTACTTGACAGACAGGGAGAAATCCCCAGGGGCACTCTCGCTCTCTCGGATTAGGAAGGCCCCATCATGCCTCTGTTTGCTAAGCATTTCTTCTGCCTTGGCTCTGGGGATTTTGCCAAAAAACCACCTAAGGAAGGAAAGTAAGCCGGTCAACATCTGCTTCTGCACAACGCAATGGGCTGTCCAGCCTCACACGCAAATAAGAGCGCTCTCCTTGTCGGGGGAGGCTGCTCTTCGCCTGCTGGTCTCGGGCCTGCTCTGGAGCAGAGCCTTCCTGAGAGATGCGCTTTCAAGCAGCTTCACCCACTCAAGACCCCGACCACCCTTCAGACTACAAGGAGACCTTTCCAAACACGCCACCTGAAAACCGGTTTCTGAAGCCAAAGCCCTGGCCCCTCACTGACTTTTCAGAAAGGTACCCAAGAAAGCCCTGCCACATGGGACGAAGGACAGGGAGACACAGGCCCTGGGAAGGCCGAGTGCCCGGGGGACCTGGAAGGACTGGAAGGTGGAGGCGAGGAGGCTCGCTCGGTGAGAAAGCAGACTGCCGATAACAGAGGCCAGCACTCCGGATGACTGGCTCAGGGTGGAGGACACACCACTCAGCTCTAGGACACTTCCCCAAAATTCTTAAGGCCTTGAGTTTGATTCTCTGCACTACCTAAGAGCCCAAACAAAAACTAAATCATAGTATCAGGAATTTCAGAGCTGGGCAGTAGTGGTGCACCCCTTTAATCCCAGCACTCAGAGGCAGAGATAGGCAGTTTCTTTCTTTTCTTTTCTTTTCTTCTTTTTTTTTTTTTTTTTGGTTTTGGATTTTCAAGACAGGGTTTCTCTGTGTAAAAATCCTAGCTATCTTAGAACTCACTCTGTAGATCAGGCTGGTGGATTTCTCTTAGTTCAAGGCCAGCCTGTTCCACAGAGCAAGTTTCTCAGGACAGTTAAGGCTATTACACATACACCCCCCCCCCCCTTGAAAAACAAAACCAAAAACAAAACCATCCAAAAACCAAACCAACCAAAAGCAACAACAAACAACAACAACAACAAAAAAACAAAGTTAGAAAAATAAAGGAGATGAGACACCTTTAAAGGGCTTGAGGTCATGACTGCCTGGCTCTTTCAAATGAAAACCATCAGCAATCAGGGCAGAGAGGACTGTGGAGATCTTCAGTATTTCACTGTGTTTCTAAAGGAAGGCTGGCCCGGGGGGCTGTACCAGCCATTATTACACCAGCTAAGACCAACCTTACCTTCTATGGTAACCGGAACTCTGGTCTGCAAATGAAAGCCACACCACCAGAGCCTCAGGCCTCACGCACACTTCACAAGACCTTGGCAACTAAACTACATAAACCTAACTTTCTTCTTCTTTTTTCTTTTCTTTTTCTTTTTTTTTGAGACAGGGTCTCTATAACTTTGGAGTCTGTCCTGGAACTCATTCTGTAGATCAGGTTGACCTCGAACTCAAAGATCTCCCTGCCTCTGCCCCCCATCCCAAGTGACAGGATTAAAGGCGTGCGCCACCACTGCCCGGAAAACCTAACTTTCATGACCATCTTTTAAATTTTTATTTTGCGCTAGAGAAAGAGTTCAGTAGTTAAGAGCACTTCCAGAGGACATGGTTCAGTTTCCAGCACCATTATCATAGCATACACCCACCTGTAACTCTAGTTTCAGGGACACAGGCATAGGCAAACAATCATACATATAAAATAAAGCAAAATAAAGTTACAAGAGTGACTTGTTCTTACTGTCATAGAAAGCTAACTTTTAAAACCATCTTTTAATTTTAAAATTATTGTATACATGCGGAGGTCAGAAGACAACTCTGTGGGGTCAGTTCAGTTATGTCCTTATCTTTTTTGTGGGTTCCAGGGATCAGATATGGCCATCTGGTTTTTGTGGCAAGTGTTCTACCTGCTAAGTCATCTTGCTGTTCTGAGACAGGGTCTCACACGGTGGCTCAGGCTGTCCTGAAGTCTGAACTCTCCCACTCCCATGTAGCTCTCCAAGGGGTGGAGCTGGTGGGGTTTTAAGTGGAAGCCACAAGTACTGAGGATTAGAGGCATTCGGGCTATTCCCCCACCCCCACTGTGCCTCCACAGTTTCTGTGCAGCCTTGGCTGTTCTAGAACTCACTCTATAGACCAGGCTGGCCTCGAACTCACAGAGATCCACTTGCCTCTGCCTCCTGAGTGCTGGGATTAACATCGTGTGCCACCACACCTGGCTATGGCTATCTTATTACTGCCAGATATTTTCAAAACATTCTTCCAGATTAAAACTGAAATTCAGATAGTAGACGCAGGGCTGCTAGGAGGGGCGCCCCCAGACACTGCCTGCATGAATTTAAGTGCACCTAAATCAGTTTGATGTCTTTCTCACTTTGCATGCTCTGATGCCAGGCTGTGGGGATATACCCCTCCCCCTCCTACAAATGCAGAAGAGTGAACCCTTGATGCCTGGGGAACTCCCTAGAACAGACCAGAGAGGAGGAGGCTCTGAGGAGGTAGCCCCCTTCCGCGGCCTCTGGTACTGCGCAGCAGCTTCTGAACGGCCGGGGGGATGCACAGCGACTGCCCTGTCTCCACACTTACTGGGAAGGAGCGCACATTCTCCACAGCCATTCTCCCCGTTCTTGGACCCTAAAATATTGCAACGAAGCACCAACTTCTAAAAAACTTAATTCTCGCTGGGCAGTGGTGGTGCATGCCTTTAATCGGCACTCAGGAAGCAGAGGCAGGAGGATCTCTGTGAGTTTGAGGCCAGCCAGGTCTACAGAGTGAGTTCCAGGACAGGCTTTAAAACTACAGAGAAACCATGTCTTAAAAAACAAAAACAAATAAAAAATCCACACAATTGTATTTAATTCAAAAGTGTTAGTGTTGGACATAACAGCACATGCATGGGAGGTGGAGGCATGAGGCCCAGATTTCAAAGCCAACAGTAGCCACTTAGGAGATTTTGAGGCCAGCCTGGGCTACATGAGATTGATTCTGTCTCAGAATAACAAAACAAAACAGAACAAAACAAAAAATTGTAGAGAACTCAAAGCTGCAAGTACACTTATTTGCTATTCTTTTTAGGCAGGGTCTTGTCGACTAGCTGGTTTCCAACTTCTGATTCTCCTGCCTCAAGCATACTTGGGTTAAAACCTGTGTAGCAGGCCCAACTCTCTAACTGGATTTTTTGTTTGCTTTGTTTTTGTACACAGGCTTTCTCTGTGTAGTCCTGGCTGTCCTCGAACTTAGACATCCATCCGGCTGCCTCTGCCTCCCAAGTGCTGGGATTAAACTGGTGTCCTGCCACTATCACCCAGCTTGGATTTTTTCCCTCCCAAGACAGGCTTTCTCTGTAGCTTTGGAGCCTGTCCTGGAACTAGCTCTTGTAGACCAGGCTGGCCTCGAACTCACAGAGAATCGCCTGCCTCTGCCTCCCGAGTGCTGGGATTAAAGAAAGGTGTGTGCCATCACCGCCTGGCTCAAATTTTTACAAAATAGATGCATCAAGAAATAAGAGGTCAGGTTGAGCGTGGCGATACACAGCTGCAATCTTTCACTGGGAAGGAAGAGGGAGGAGGAATACCGACTGTAACTTCAAGGCTGGTCTCACACTAAAACCCTGTTTCAAAAACTAAAACAGAAGGAAACATTAGTTTGAAACCTATTTCACTGATCAAAAATTTCTTGTATATCTGCTCCTGGTTCAAATACAGAGACGGGGTCTTGAGATGCCACCCAGCAGGAGGAAAAGCACACAGCATCCAGTCATAGCTGCTGTACTTTCCCAGGACATTTGCAGACCCAATAAGCTTCTTCCAAAGAATGACTGCTTGCAGTGCTGAACGCAGAAGCCAGGCCCTGTGCATGCTGGGTCAGTCCCCTCTACCACTGAGCTACCCCGAGACTGATACTTATGTCTAACTGCATGCCTATAGACAAATGTTCTGCCAATCTTTAAAAAGACTGGTCGGTACTGCCCTAGAAATAGCAAGCAAGGAAGCCAAGGGGGAGGACAGATGTATTTTCCAGTGTGTTATTTATAGCACGCAATAGCCCCCGCCCACACGCACTTACTATGGAGCGCGTGTGTGGATCTGCTGGGCACACACAACCTGTCCTGTCGGCCTCCATGTGGACCCAAATGCATCATTAGGTGGCTGATATTCTATCATATAACTGTCCGCTTCCTCTCCAAACAAAGGCGGGGGAGGGGATGGGGACTGGCACATCGCTCTGTGGGGGGGCCACACTAAGCAACAGCCAGTAAAGTCACAGAAGCACTTCACACCAGCAGCTGTCCCCAGCACTACCGCAGACTTGCAGAGAGGCTCTGGAATGTGTTATTCCTTCTGCAGAGCCCAGAGCGGAGGGGCTGACTTTCCTTCAGCCAGCTTACAAGTAGCCCGGAGGATCACATTGATGCTGTCTAGTTAGGGAGTCAAACTGAGCACTGAAGATGTGATCCCAGGGCTCCAGCCATGCTAGCTGAGTGCTCTACCACTGAGCTAATACCCCCTGGCCCTTCATTTTGCTAAATTGCCCAGGCAGGCCCTGAACTCCCAGTGCTCTGCCCCATCCTCAAGAGACCGTAGGTGTGTATGCCTACCGCTCCAAATTCTTACATACAGGGGGAAGGGCAGGGTTCGAGTGGCCCTCCTGGTCAGCGGCAGCTGACTACAGACAGACCTTCCTAAGGAGGGCGGCTCTCTTTATTTCATAATCTCATTCAAAAGGCCGTGCTGCCGGAACAGTCTGAAGGCTGCTGACCACAGCACCGTACTCAGGATGATTTTGTTCCCGATCCAGCAGAACAGTCAGGAAACCACGGCTCTCAGGCTAAATGTGCTCATTTTTATACTGACCCACAACTCAACTGTTCAATTTGAGGCTATCTTGCCACATAAGCCCAGGCTGGCCTTTTCCTTTCTTTAATTTAACTTGTTCGTGTGTGTGTGTGTGTGTGTGTGTGTGTGTGTGTCCCCCCGTCCGTCCGTCCGTGTCCTCACGTACAGGTTCTCTACGCCATGACGCACTTGTCGATGGCAGAGGACAGCCGTCTGACAGCCAGCTCTCTCCTTCCACCTGGGGTCTGGGGTGCTGGAGACACAGGCACTCACCGCCACACTGCCTTCCTCCCTCTACTCTAGAGCTGAGTTCGAGGCAAGCACTCTACCATAAAACCACATGCCTTTACAGTTTTTATTTATTTTTAAAAATTAATGCTTTTATGGTGCTAGGGGTGGAATCTAGGACTCTGTGCATGTAAAGTGAGCCCGGCCCTAGTGGGTCATCAAAGCATAAACTTTAGAGAACCTGGGCATAGTCCAGTGGTAAATGCTTGCCTACTATTCAATTCCCAGAATGGAAGAAAAGGGGAGGGGGGAGGAAAAGAACAGGTGTGTGTGCGTGTGGGTAGAGATGGCTAGGTGCTTAAAAACACAACTCTCTTTTAGAGGACCTGGGTTCAGTTCCTAGCACCCACATTAGTGGTTCACAACCACCTATAACTCCAGTTCCAGAAGATCTGGAACCCCTTTCTGATGTCTGTAGGCTCACGCACATACATACACTCAAACAGACACAGAAACACGTACTATTTATTTATTTATTTATTTTGAAAGAAAGCAGGACAGGTGCGTGCCAGCACACACCTGCAATACAAACACTTGGAAGGCAAGGGCAGACTGATCAGAGTCAGCTTGGTCAACAAAGGGAGCTCAGGCCGGTCAGAGCCACATGGTAAGGAGGCCCTGACTCAAAAAGAAAGACTAAAATCTAAAACTTTCCCTATCCAGCCCTTTACAAAGTGTGTACTAGTCTTCTGTTTTTTCTCTTTTTTATTTAAGAACTTTTATTTTGCATCATAGGTGTTTTGCCTGCATGTATGTCTGAGCACCACATGTGGGCCTAGTATCTGCTGACCTTGAGTCCCCTGGAACTTAAGTTACCATGGCTGTGAACCATGATGTTGGTGCTGGGAATCAAACCCAGATTCGACGGAAGAGCCGTCGGTGGTCTTAACCACTGAGCCATCTCTCCAGCCCCTCTTTTTTTTTTCCTATCTTCTTTTCTTCTCTCTCTTTTTTTTAAAAAAAAGACAGGGCCTCACTATGTGGCCCTGACTAACCTGGACCCTAACACTGCGGGCCTGCTCTGAGCTCCCAGGATCTTCCTGCCCTTGTCTAAAGTGCCGGGACTAAAGCTGTGCACTACCATGTCAGCACTAACACCCCTTGATTGAGGGTTTGCTCTGAGCACAGATGAAGGAAAGCGAAATGCGGAGACTACTTGGCTTACGTGGGCGAGACTCAGAGGCTGTGTGATCTGATCCACGGGGTCTTCCCCACTGCTTGGTGCTTATCCAGTATGTGCCCACCCGTGGGACTATAAAAAGCCCACACAACTTCCTGAAGCAAAACCAAGACTAAAAGGCTATAAGAAATGGCCGGGCATGGTGGTACACCTTTAATCCTAGCACTTGGGAAGCAGAGGCAGGTGGAGCTCTGTGAGTTTGAGGCCAGCCTGGTCTACACAGAGAAATCCTGTCTCAAAAAAACCAAACCAGACCAAAACCAAAACCAAAAGCAAGGTACAAGTGACAGTGGACTATGACTATAAAATCAGAAGCCCAGCCTAATTTCCCAAGGAACCTAAAATCTTTTGGATAGAAACCAAACTTACATACTTGCCTAAGAAAAAAAGCAAATACACACACACACAACCTTTTTTCATCTTGTAATCGCCCCATGGAATATCTAAACAACATTAGGAGGTGCCCGGCAGTTTCCTTGAGGCGTTCCTATTTTTCCTGGTAGCAACAACATCCTCCGTGAATCACCTGCAGGCAATCAAACTCTGCTTCTCCCGGCTAATGCTGCCTGGACACGGAGCTTCCCCAGGACAGTGTGGGATTTTATCAGGGGCTGGGTTAACTGAAGCCCATACCTTCTCATTACCTTGTAGCAGGGCCACACAACAGCTATGTAAAACTCACTGGCCAAGGCATGAACTAATCTGACAGATTTGTGGGGAGCGGGGGGGGGGGGGGGCAATTCAGAATAAGAAGAAGAAAAAAAAAATCACCTTTTGGGATGAGACTCAGGATTTGGGCCATCGTGGCATCTGGCCCAGTTACTATCAGTTGCCAGCAAGAACCACCTGTGTGGGGACAAGCTGGCACATGGCTCCGTGCTTCCCTTCCTTCCCCCTTTTTCACCATGAAGCCTTTCCGGTGAGCGCTACATTCAGAAGTTGCTAGCACTGGAGCAGAAACACCAGGAGCTCTCACTATTTGTAGAATAAAAAGAATGAGAAGGGCGACCCTTCTGCTCCGTGACACCGGTAAGAGAGTAAGAGGCTCCAGCATCTGCGCACGTCTGAAGCAACACAGTGTGATCTCTGCTTCAGGGCTTGGGGGAGAAAAGGGACCACGGTCTACGAGAGTGATCACAGTAAGAACACCACTGGACCGCTCAAGGTGGAGCAGGGCCCCCACCAGTCTGACACTTAGCATTAGGCAACAGAAGCCCCAGCAACACTGCCGTCCAAGAGCCTGGGCTCCTCTGACTCAGGAGGTGTACAAATAAGTAAGTGCTCTGAGGGCGGCTTGCACTGACCCATCCACTCTGCTGCACATGGGCATAAGGAAGACCGGCAGGGGAGGGGCTTCAGAGAAAACTCAAGAGGAGGGAAGGAGTTGGGGACATCAGGGCTCAGTGCTCCTGCAGCCTGGAGGAGAACCTAGCTCCTTCCCTCCAAAAGCGGAAACTTTGGATGGAAAAGTAACACTTAGGAACAGCCAAATGCTGAATGAACACACTATTCTATGGGTCATCAAATGCACCGGCACAAAACCGTGGTAAGAACTCTAGAACGCTGTTTGAAACTCAAAGCATATGAAATCACAAAATGCATTAGGCCCCAAAGGTCTCAATGAGAAAGAATTAGGAACTTATTTAAAAAAAAGAAAGAAAGAAAGAAAGCAAGCTTGCCTCTCAGAGATTCCAGACACCAGCTTTACCTCATCATTACATGCTAGTGTTAATAAGAAAACTCACAGAGCTCGGGCTCGGACCACCCCTGTGCAGAGCTTTTTGGTTGGTTTCCTAAGACAGGGCCTTGGTAGGTACAGGCTGACTCTGAAATCCCCATGTAACCCAGTCTCACTCTGAAATCTCTGTAGCTCAGGCTGGCCTTGGGCTTACAAGTTTCTTGCTTCCACCTTCCAAGTGCTGGGATCACAGACATGTACTACCATGTCTGGCTAATGGTCTTTATTTTCTTTGTATTTTTAGTTTTTGAAATATTGTCTCACCATGCATCTCTGGTGGGTCATGAACTGGCTGTGACCCACCTACCTGCCTTTCAAAGGCTGGGATCCTAGGTATGCACCAAGACACCTGACTGTGGACTCCATTTTAAACTTAACAACAGTACCTGGTAGCCTGACATGGTGGTGCATGCTTGTCACCCCAGAACTTTGGGTAGCCGAGGAAGGATATACACGTGGTGTGACCGTACAAACCAAACCAACCCAGGGACAATGGCACACACCTGTTAAGTTCAGAACTAGGGAGACAGAGGCAGGTGGGTCTCCGTGAGGTCAGCCTGGTTATAGAGCAGCCGAGGCTACATTGAGACCATCCCTGCTCCACCCTCAATAATCCAAATCAGAACAAGTACTTGGGAAAGAGGGCGAGCATCCTGCTTAGGAGAGCCATGGAGCCCAACTTACGGATGCGGTTTCATTTCTATGTAGTTCTTGGGGATGAAGCCGTCCTTCCCGTTGAGCTCTGCCTTATACCAGTTCTGATCGCACTCTTCATTCAAAACCTGAAAAATAAAGACGGGAAAAGTCAACCACTATTGTAAGGGCAGCCACAGACGGTCATGTCTCCTAGGGTCGCAGGAAGGTTACTTGGGTATCAGAATTCTTTTAATTTCCACAGCCAGCATTATATGTTAAACTATAAAGGTCAGAGAAAAAGAAACTCTGGGCAGTAAAAGTTCAGGCTTCTTTTTCTTTTCTTTTTTTCCCTAAAAGATTTATTTATTTATTATGTATACAGTATTCTCGGTATTCTGTCTGCATGTGTGCCTGTAGGTCAGAAGAGAGCAGCAGATACCATTACAGATGGTTGTGAGCCACCATGTGGCTGCTGGGAATTGAACTCAGGACCTCTGGAAGAGCAGGCAGTGCTTCTCCCCCCCCCCCCCAAGACAGGGTTTCTCTGTGGTTTTGGAGCCTATCCTGGAACTAGCTCTTGTAGACCAGGCTGGTCTCGAACTCAAAGAGATCCGCCTGCCTCTGCCTCCCAAGTGCTGGGATTATAGGCGCAGCCCGGCGCAGGCAGTGCTCTTAACCACTGAGCCATCTCTCCAGCCCCCAGGCTTCTTTTTCAACATCTAGAATTAAACCCTCAGTGGGAAGGCAGAAGGAATGGTGGAATAGATCTATGTTTTCTTAAGGAGGGTTCTCTAGGAGACAGAGGCACTGGCGCCAATGAGCACAGGAACCCGGCCTGACAGACTGAACAAGGTTGCAGTGTGGAAGAAAAAAGTAAGTGCGGAGAAATTCTTGTGTTCTCTGCAAGCCAACTGCCAAACTCCCAAGGCAGTTCCCAAGGCCCCGCTACGAGTCCCCGGCCAAGCAGCTCACTGGTCACTGTATAGGAACCGTGCTAATGTCGGGCAGGAAAACCTGACAATGCTGTGTTCAGGTCAGGCAGTCTAGGAAGCAGACCAACCAACACTTCAGGTCCAAGACTCAGAGCAAATTCTAGACCTTCAACCAAAGGCAGAGGGCAGTGGGCATAAATAACGAAAACAGTTTCTTCTAGCCTAGGTTAGGCTTGAGCTTGGTGGCTGGGAATGATCTTGAATTTCTGATCCCGCTGCCTCCCCCTCCGAAGTGCTAGGATCACAGGCATGTTTGTGGGTTGTTTGGTTGGTTTTGAGATTGGGTCTCACCTTGTTGATCAGACTGACTAGAACTCACTATGTAACAACTTCAGACTTGTCAGAACTCCCAATCCTCCTGCTTCCCAATTCTAGGATTACAGGTGTGTACCACCATGCCTGGTTTAAGGTTGGTATTAAGAATGAAGATGCAAGCCGGGCTATGGTGGCGCACGCCTTTAATCCCAGCACTCCGGAGGCGGAGGCAGAGGCAGGCGGATTTCTGTGAGTTTGAGACCAGCCTGGTCTACAGAGCTAGTTCCAGGACAGGCTCCAAAGCCACAGAGAAATCCTGTCTCAAACCCCCCCCCCCAAAAAAAGAAGAATGAAAATGCAGAAGACATGTGGTGGCCTCCACCTTGAATGTCAGCAATCAGAGCAGAAGTAAGAGGTTCGCTGAAAGCTTTGAGGACTACAGGGGTACGCAGTAGGACCTGTCTCTGAAAGAAAGGATGGAGGAAGAGAAAATACTGAAGTGAGCTCAACCTCATAATGGGGGCAAAGGAAATGCTGACTGCTACGGCGGTGGTCAGTTGACACTGGACAATGAACTTCTAAAGGGAAGTTGGTAACGTTTGTTTTTTAAACAAAGTGACTTTGAGACTGAACATCAGCCACATTAGAAATCCGAGAGCTCTGGCATGTCGGATATTTGCATGTTGACATTCTAAAGTGACACAACACATCCAAAGGGGCAACAACCTGTCAGCTGCAACCGAGATCATAACATCTCAACAAAGATGTCACAGAGCTCCGTCATGCTGCTGCCTGTCTGTCATGCTGGCCAGCCTCTAGCTACAGGTGACAGTCACTGTCTTTAGGTGTATGTATATAAATATCAATGAGGGTCAGGTGTGGTGGCACATGCATTTAGTTCCAGCACTCAGGAGGCAGAGGCTGGCAGATCGCTATAAGTTTGAGACCAACCTGGTTTATATAGAGTTCCAGGTCAGTCAGGGCTACATAGTGACACTGTCCCAAAACAACAAAACAAAAGTCAACAGGGCCAAGTCTACAAAAGCTAATAAAGAAACAGTAAGCACTCAACTTAATGAGACCACCTCCAATTCCCAAGAGGCTCATATACCCAGAGTGCAGGAAGGATGGATTTCTATTTGTTTTGTTTTTATGAGATGGGGTTTATAGCTGGCCTTGGACTGTGAACCTCAGGCTGGTCTAAGACTAAGGGCAATCTTTAGTTTCAGTCTCCCGTATGCTGGAATTAGAGGCATAAAGTACCACACCAAATTTAAAACTTGCTTTTCTTTTATTGTTTTTTTCCCCCTCAAACAAACACCTATGGGCTGGCAAGCTGACCCAATGGGTGACTGATTACTATGCAAGCCTGACGAGTGGGAGCCCAGAACCCAAGGCAGATCTCTGTGAGTTCCAGGACAGCCAGGTCTGTCTCAAAAACAAAACAGAGCAAGGAGCAGGGGCTGGACAGGAGGCGCAGAGCACTTGCTTCTCTTGCATAGAACCCAGGTTTGACTCCCAGCATCCACACTGGGCAGATCACATACGGGAGTAACTCCAGCTCCAGGGAATCTCATGTTCTCTTCTGGCCTCCAAGAGCATTTGCATATGTGTGGAACATGCACATACACACGGGCACACACGGAGTCTTTGAGAATCACTCACACTTTACTGAAGACCTGGACGAATCACGATGCAGGACACACATAATTTAAAGTCTTCATAAGCAAGCACTGACCTGTGCATGCCAGCAAAGGCATTCATTCTGTTGCTCACACAGGCACACCAAGGGCAGGGGATTGGGAATAAGAGGCAGTGCCCATCTTTGAGGCACAGAGCTCTCACCAGCCCACTAAGACAGGCTCTGCTTTTTTTAAGTTGCTTAAGGCCAGTACTCTTATCCACCAAAAATAAGGGCTTCAAGAAAAATGTGGCCTCACAAGCATCTTGTGAACAATGACCCTCTGGTGATGACAAAGCAGTCAGCAAGCTTGGGCAAGAGCTGCTGGGGCGCACCACACACGCTCTGAATTCGTGCAAAGCAGATGAGCTAGGCTGACAAGACACTGGCTGTGACCTACTTATGCAACAGAAGAGAGTAAGAGACTCATTTAACAATGGCCAATTAGACTGCACCCAGCAGCCCTGTAGAAAACAAACATCATTACATGCCAAGGAGTGCCAGAAGCTGCAAGTTCTCACTGCCATCTTTCCCAAGACAGAGACCAGTACCCCTAAGTATTGCTCTACTGTGCATGAGATAAAGGGAACTCCATGTGTGGAGACCGTTTACAGCCATGGTTTTCTACAGCAAACATCACCTCAAGGTGTTATTACAGCTTTGTCTCCCAGATGGCAGGGAAATATGACGCTTGGCACATGAATGGCTACAATTTCGGTTATCTGGGAAAGCCAGGCAGCCACGATGCTACTCTGTGTCTATGCTCTAGATTTAAGAACAGGCTGGCCATGCTGGGGGCGAGCAGAGGAGTGTCACCTGATGTCACCCGCGGGACGGAGGTGAGGGCTGCCCGCTCTGCACATGCAACAGCTGTCACAAGGAAGCTCGCACCGGAATAACATAACTCCAAAATCAACTTTTTGGGGCCGGAAAGATGACTCAGTGCTGGCTGTTCTTCCAGAGGACCTGTGTTCAATCCCCAGCACCCACATGGATGCTCACAAGCACCTGTAATTCTAGTTCTAGGGATCCAGTGTCCTCTTCTGAAGTCTGCTCTCACCAGGGATACATGCAGGCAAAACACTCATCAACCACGAGAGCAAGAGCTCATTAAAAAAGTGTGTCTATGTGCACATATGTGCACTTAAGGGAAGGTGCTGGATCCTCTGGAGCTGAAATTACAGGCAGTTGTGAGTTGCCCAATGTGGGTGCTGTGAATCAAAGCCGGGTCCTCTGAAAGAGCAACACACACATGCTCTTAGCTGCTGAGCTATCTCTCTAGCCCACCAAACTAACGTGTGTGTGTGTTTTTCTACATAGTCCTGGTTGCCTGGAACTCATTACATAGACTAGGTTGGCCTTGAAAAAGGCATGTACCACCATGCCCAGCTCCAAATTAATTTTCTTTTTTGTACTAGTTCTGTACACCAGGCTGCCTCGAACTCAACAGAGATCTCCTGTCCTCTGTCTCCTGAGTTCTGGGATTAATGGCATGTGCCACTACTGCCTGTCCCCTAAATTAACTTTTTTTGTCTAAAAGTTTGAACAAACAAACGAGCAAAGGCTACAAAAGTGAGTATGAGTTTAAAGTAGAGGGGAGGGTAACCCAGGGCACCTAGAGAGCCTGCTTCTAGCAGACAGCCCTCACAGGAGTTCAGGGCTTGTTCTGAGCTGGGAATGAGGAAGCTGTTTCTCCCCGCCCTCTTCCTGCAGAAGGCACTTAGAGATTGCTCATCTGTCACCTCCTCTCAACAGGTGACCTAACCAACCCACATTCAGCTCCACTTTGAGTATTCCAAGGAATCTCCAGCCAGCACCCCAGCTGCACTTCTGTCTGGCCCTTCTACTTTGAGCTATGACTCAGGAGCTAACAACCCCCGTCCCTCCACACACACTAGCGCTTTGGTTCAACGGAAACCAACTGATCAAGAGACGAGACTGTAAAAGGAAGGAGAGCCAGTTTCAGTGAAGGGCTCTTCCCCCTCCCTGTACAGAGACTGAAACTGTCAGCCCAGAGAGAAGGGGGGGAGGGCACACGGTGGGGACGCCGTGGTGGGACACAAGCCGTGGTGGACTTGTGTGTGTCCTCTCCTGGTGCTGCTTATTCACGCGTGCTGCTTGTAGAAATTCACTTATGACACAAGAATTTTGCTGTGTATCAAACCTCAATCAAAAGTTAGAACTGGTCGGACAGTGGTGGCGCACACTTTTAATCCCA